ATAGGAGCTGTGAAAGTTAAGGTATTAATTTTTTTAAAATGTCAATTTGCCTTATTTCTATTGACGGCAGCCCATATATATATGTATATACTACACTTACAAAGTGATCAAACAAGCTCATTTTCGATATTATACCGTATAAATCAAAAGCCATGAGTGCTGGAAGTGCATAACCAATCTTTATAGGAAAGAATGGAAGAAATATCAAATATACTGAAGCGTCAGGATATTTTATGGCACACGCGCCTAAACACGAAAAAATAGCTCCCGAAGCTCCCAATGAGCCTATTATGTTCTTCCAATCTTTAAACATCAAGGAAAATATGTGGCTTATGCATGAGGATGTTACTCCTGAGCTGATGTAAAATGCGAGAAATTGTTCTTTACCAAAAATTCTATAAACTACACCACCAAAAGACCATAATGCAAACATGTTAAAACCGAAATGCCATGCCGCTTTATGACTAAAAACTGATGTCAGTAATGTAAACATTCGACCAGATAATGGATGATGAACAAAGCGCTTTTCCATTAAACGTTGAAGTGGTGCCAATTGCCACATTCCAAAGACTATAGCATTGATTCCTATTAATACTAATAAAGTTTTATCGCTATCATTTAATGAACGCCATCGTTTCGTTATAAGTGCAATGTTCCTTTCAATTTCTATATAAACGTTCCAATCCTGTAACTTCCTCAGTTGTTGACTAAATACTCTTTTGACCCAGCTTGGAATAACAGACGTCTCCTCCCTATTATATTGTTCTATAAGAGTTCTGTTGCTGCTAGCCCTTCGTTTATATTCGGAATAAGTCAAGGCAACTGCATAGGCTGTGCCCGACGTGAAGCATGCGAATAAAATAGGCTTAACAATTGATGGTCTATTATATAATCTCACTCGAGGTATATATGTTCGATTTGGTAAAGAAAATCGGAATTTACATGTTAACTTTTGATTATTAGTTAACGCGAAAAAAATGTTATGAGAAACGAAGAACTGCTTGGAGTTTTTTAATGAGAAACGCCACATTTTTAAATGATCTATTATAGATCAGCATTAAGAAAATATTTATATCAATACTTCTTTAATCACGTAATTAATCAACCAATCAAATGAGTCCTCTGTATACTGTATATCGATGTAATGATGTAATTAAAGCTGTTAACAGAATGGTGTGAAATATACTTACAAGATAATTACTGTGGCGAATTAAAATGAAATTAGATTAAAATGAAATGAGCAGGCTTTTTGATCACTGACCAGAATTATTAACTATAAATCCATAGTTAGTGGTGTGAATTAAAAGAGGATTTTAATCGCATACACAGGACGCGAAAAATATAGATGTTATATTGAAATTTTGGATAAAAAAGTTACTTTTTTACTAAAATGTTATATATATATTTTTTTTGGCGATCATGTCACAACTTTATTTTTAATATAGATTTTACATTTTTAACAGAATATGTGATTTCTATTTATAGCTATGCCATTTTTCAAACTAAAGTGTGGCTTACCTGGTTGTTTATTGGCTATTTTTCTTTTTTTATACATTTGTATTTCTTTTTCTTCACCTGTGAGAGCTTGGTAAAGGATATCTAGAGGAAGCTTTTTCCTTGAATGCATGTTTAGGTTGGTTTAAATTTCTTTTGCAATTGCTTACTCTTTGTCATGCCACTTATTTTAATTAGTTTCACAAATAGCTAGGTGATCAAAGTTTTTTTCTTCTTTGCATTTTTTACAAAAAGCTGATAGATAGAAATCTTTTTAATTTTTTTTATAAGTATAAAGTGTTAGGAGCAAACTATTTAAGCTTTTAAGTTTAAAACTCCATTTTTTATTTGTTCTAAAAGATTTTTTTTTTTTTCTTTGTTTTACAAGCTTTTAAAGATTTTCTAGTCTTGTTTTACTAGTCTACTTGAGTGAGTCATGTTTTTGGAGTTATTCATAAATAGCTATTTGATCTTGTAAAACATGTGTATAAATTTCTTAAGCTATAAATTGGAGTTTTAATTATTATATTTTTTCATATTGGTTTAAATACATATTGGGAAAATAAATATAATGCAGATCTGTAAATAGAGTTTCGCAATTTGATTTGATTTGATTTGATTTAATCAAATATTTGATCTCAAATCAAATTCAAATACAGAAATTTCAAATCAAATCAAATTCAAATTGACAAAATATTCGATTCGATTCGAAAATACTTAATAAAAATTACAAATAAATTTGATTTGATTTGAATTTGATTTGATTAAATCAAATTCAAATCAAGAGCTTATTTAATTTGATCAAATTCAAATATATAAATATTTGATTTGATTTGACTTTGAGGAACCCTATCTGTAAAGATCTATAATCCTGAAAATTTTTAACAAATTTTATAATATCTCATAATTTATTAGTCAAAACCTAATGAATTAGGTACTATTTGAATCATCTTGATAAAACAGATCAAATAGTACTAAAATTATTAAAATTCAATTACTAAATTACGAGATAATTGTATTTAAGTAAATTTTGCAACCATCTCACAAACTTGTTAACTAGTAGTCCAAATTTAACAATTTTAGTACTATTTGATTTCTCTTGATAAAACAGTTCAAATAGTATCAAAAATGTTAAAATCAGATTACTGGTTCATGAGATATTCGCAAAATAGGCAGTCTGTGCAGATCTGCACAGAAAAATTTGCAAATCTGCACAAAACTATACCACAAAGATTATTTTGCAAATATCTCACAAATCAGTAATTAGATTTTAACATTTTTGGTACTATTTGAACTATTTTATCGAGAGGAATCAAATGATATCAAAATTGTTTTTTTTTTTAATTCAGCAGTCTTGCCAATACTGTTTATTAGATTAATGTTTAGGTATTTTTGGTTACAAATGTCACGAGTACATTTACAACTATCTATATTTTTTACATGTATTAGCTCACCCGGTTACCAATTTAGATACCTATGTGCAATATGCTATATAAAACTTTTACCTCCTTAGTAACCGCTCTGCAATTAGACCAATTACTAGATCACCAGATGATTTCCAAACCTAAAGGGGCATCTATAAATAACATTATATTTGAGAGAGGGGAGGGGGTCCTCCAAAATATAATTAGAGGGGGTCTTCCAAAATATAATGCAATTTTTTTATAAAAATTTGTTTAAAATTTGATCCAGTGATCCAAATTGGATGATTTGGTACCATTCGAATCCTCTCGAGGAGAGGAGTCGAATGGTACCAATTTCAATTGATTTGGATTACTGGATCATGTTTTATTAATGAAATACTATTAGCTATTATGTTTTCTTATAAAATTACTATAAAATCAATAGTATTTCGTTAATAAAATGTTATCCAGTGGTTCAAATGAAATGATTTTGGTACCATTGGATTCGTCTCACAGAGACAAATCAAATGGTACCAAAATTATCCTGATTGGATTACTGAGTCATAATAAATCCAAGTTTTTGTAAAATTTTATATATAAACATATAGATTTTTAAAAATTTTTATATAGTCTAGAGGGGGTCAAGAGCTACTATGTAGAGGTATATAACGTTATATATGAATGCCCTCTAATTATATCATATATATCCCGCTTATATACTACTATACAACATCTACCAACTGACTTCCACCCCTTATTACTTATTATATTACTCCTAATTCATTTTTTGTATTATTTCCAAATTGGTGTCTTTCAAGTGGGCGCTCTTCATGCTTCTAGTTTGGTGTCCCTGGGAAGCTACTTTAAGAACCTAATCTGTATCTTAAGCCAGGTGCTGCCAGATCATAAGACTCGTATTTTAAGCCACTTGCTGCCGTACTAGGGTGCTATTTCATGTTATCCAGGTATTCACGTCATACACTACCAAATTAGACTACCACTTCTTTTATAGTACTTCCTATCGATATGGTATTACAGAAGTCTAGATCCTTAGGACAGGAGTTAAGTACTGTAGTAAAATTTACTAAAAACTATCAAGCTTTAGCAAACTTTAAAGTTATGAGTGTCGAGTAGACTATCTTTTATTTAAAGAGAATAATAAAAAGAAAGAAAAATAACAATTTGTATAATGGAATTTAAATTCAATAGCCTTTAAAGTACTATAAGAAGTTATCAATAGGCAATGAGGTTTG